ATGTTACCTTACGCAATTTTATTACCATTTTCGATGGATGTATGGTACCAATGGATTTTAGTCTACATGTACTCAATTACATCAGGTTTGTATATTTATACTAGTTGTCGCACGTGACTCCGTTCTCGTGAAATTAAAAAAAATATAATAAAAATGGTGTAAGCAAGAAAATCTGACACCGTGCCTGTGTACTGGCACAACACTAGCCTTACTAAAATGTCGACGTCTATGTCCCCTCACTAATCATTCTGATATTTGACTTTGCAATGTAAGCGTGCCATTCGCGCCAAATCGCGGATTGTAATTAATAATGTCTGAAATTAGTAGTAGTTATGTTTTTTTCCAGACTATGTTCTTCATGTATGCCAAACATCATCGAGATCCGTTCAGCAGTTCTGGAGATACCTTTAAACAAACATCCATCCTTCCATCTAAACATTGTCTAGTCATGTCTTCTAAGTCATCACTGGCAAAAGTCTCGTTCAAATACTAAGCTATGAAACAACTATAATATATGGATAAAAATCAATATCTTTTCGAATGCACCTCTATCATAACTGGAAACTCTTTGCCAAATTCGAACTATTTAAACACATCTTACTAATATTATAAATGTGAATATTTAGATGGATGGATGTTTGTTTGAAGGTATCTCCAGAATAGCTGAATGGATCTCGACGAAATTTTCCATACATATAGAACATAGTCTACTAATTATGTTATTTTAATCCGCGCAGACGGAGACGCGGGCGACAACTATCCTATATCCTAGGACAATTTTATGCACAGCCTTCAAAAGTTCTAGGTTGAAACAATCTCAATATGATTTTCATCTTTATGTTTCCTGTATTTTTATTTACAGGTTTTTTGTGCGTTTTATTTTACACAGCTGTTGATATATTATATTACATATTAACGTCACATGTCTGTAATCATTTTACACTGTTATCGTTCGATCTTCAATATTTAACTGACGGGAGTCTATTAAGAGACATAGTGATAAGACACCAATATCTATTAAAGTATGTATTTAATATTTTTAATGTACATATTTCCTTTTGAAACGTAAACTTTTTAATGTAATTATTAATTTTTAGGTTGTCAGAAGATTTAGAAGATATTTTTACGGCACCAAATTTTTTTAACGTTCTAGTGGGTTCTTTAGAAATATGCGCTCTTGGTTTTACTTTGACGGTGAGTCAACCATTTATTTGGAGCTATTTGTCGTCAATTTTATCATAGAGTGAAGAATGCAAATAATATTTTTTTTAATAAATTATCTTATCTTCATTATGTTTGGTTGAGGAAACCAAGGATTATGGCAGATATATACAACTAGCTGTCTCCCGTGACATCGTCTGCGCGAAACTTAAGAAAAAGCTTAAGGCTATGTGTTCTTCCAGACTTAGTTCGATATGTATGCTAATTTCATCGAGATCTGCCTAAACATTTGCATTTATTATATCAGTAAGATTGTGGATTTTATCTATGTAACGCAAAGTAAATATTTTTTTTTTAGTTTGGAGGTGGTATTCAAATCCTTGGAGTTATGTTGTTCCTGACTTCGGTTCTCTTACAAATGTATATGATGTGTTGGTTTGGTGAAACTCTTATGAGAAAGGTAATATTATTATATCGTTAGATGAAGGTAGAACTTAAAGAATAATGGTGTGGTGATACCATTATAAGCGACCGCACGCTCATTTCGAAACACACTCGCTACTAAAGCCAGCGGAAGCTCTGCCCGTTTGACTAGCCAATATAATAAATCATTTTAACTCTGTTAGTTGATTAAGTTAATGTTATATTTCTAAATCATCTAAGTATAAATTTAATTTAATCAATTCTGTTAGTTTTGTTATTAAATCAGAAAAGTAGTGTAGTCGTGTATAAGAGATTGTTTTTTTTTTAATTTTTCCTGCTTCTGATCCCTAAGAATATATTTAGTTAAATTAGTACTTAAAGTGAAAACATTGTACCCCTTATTAAGAAATTGCGCGAACAGATAATCGTGAAATTTTATAGCTAACGCGAATCGCTTCACTCCTCGCCCAGCGCGTTATCCTTTAAAGTTAATATGGAGAAGAAATGTTTAAAGCGATATTTTTCAAAAATGAAAAAGAAAAATATGGCCGATTTTCGACCAATTAGCGACAATATAAATAAGTAGTACAAAAACTTAGTAATTAGTTCCAACAATATAAAATAACTGAACGTTTATTTTGTTACTCAGAGCGCAAGCGTAGGTAAAATGGCGTACTTTTGTAACTGGCACACTATGGATAAATCATCAAAGAAAACCATTTTATTGATAATAACAAGGTAAATACGTTTATTTTGTAAAATAAAGTCTGTAATACACAGACGAGAAAGTTTACCAGAACTTCGAAACGAAATAAAAATACATAAATTGGTTCCAATCGAATTCCACGAAGTATTTAATTCCTCGTCATCTCGGTATATTTTGACAATTAATATACGATCGGTATGATGTTTTGATCGTAACATTTTAAGTGACATTTTCCGAGATTTATTATACTTACAATTACGCTACAAAAATTATAAAACATAGAAATATGAAACGAAACGAAGACGCATAGCTTCGGGCAATAACTATTTAATATAAACTGTATTATTTCCTAAGAAATAATTATAATTTAATAAAAGATTTTTTTTTTCAGATCCAATAAGGAAAAATATTTAACGGCGTATAAATTCTCCATTATATCTTACAAATGCTTTACCAAGGTTAGTTCATTTCTTTAATTATTTTTAGATATTATCATCAGTCATCACAGTATAGCTTTAAAAGAGAAGACGGGGAATTTAATTTCCGATCCACTTTGATAAATATCTTCTCACAAAATGCAAAAATAGTCAGTGGACTTCTGGGGCGCCCGCATACTAGAAACTTTTACCTCCATACATGGTTATACTGATTAAGCGCACGATCAAACTATTGGGCGACTAAAAGTCTAGTGTGCGGGGCTCTTATATGTTTTTTTTATTATTAGAAATAAATAAATGATGAATTTGAATATTAATTTATTATCAATTATCTCAGGTTATTGAGAAGTTATTTAAATGCTGTATGAATTACCTTTTTTACTTTTAAATATGCCAACCAATATTATTTTTATATTCTGCTAGTTGAAATGAGCTAAGTTTTAAATAAAATGTTCATAGAATAAAACACAATGTATTTTTGTATTGCAGATTATAAGCACATCTTGGACTTATTTTACAATATTACGCACATTATATACAGAGAGTGAATGAAATATTCACAAGGATGGTTATTTTTTATTATTATTTATTTACTTACGACCCATTGTGTTACTTTAATATTGTAGATTTTAAATTAACAGTGTAGTATTATGCTTCTTGATATGCAATGATATGTAAACCAAACAAAACAAAATCTAAATCGCGTCGTCCGTTCGGGAGCACACATGCGCACACACAAACGCACACACAAGCACACTTACACATACTCTAAAAACTTATATCAACCCCTAGGTTTTGTATTTGGGGCAAAAAACAATCGATTTTAAGTACCAATTTCAACTATCGTGTTGAAGCGCATCAAAAAAAAAATATATTAACAAGATTAATAAAGTTTATTAAGGCTTATATTTTATTTAATTACATATTTTTATGTGTTAATTTGTTTTAATTTACTACGTTATTAGTTAAAGTAAAATAAAACATCGCTGACAACTCATATAAATAAAATAAAAAAATTAAAAACAAATAAATACTTGGAAAGCAAGGCGCTCACTATTTCAGTACTAGCTGTCGCCCGTGACTTCGTCTGCATAGTTCTTTCAGTTTGTGATCTACATCCAAGCCAAATTTTATCGAGATCCGTTCAGCCATTCTAGAGATACCTTCCAATAAACATCCTTCCATCAATTCCCTTCCATCCAAACATTCGTATTCGAAATATTAATTTGATTAACTTTTTTTATAGTAGGTACAATGAACGTAAAAAATCAAACAAAAGTGGGCTTAAAAAACAATAAGTATATTGTTATTGACAGATAACAATTATTTATGTAAATCAGAAATTAATAATAATGTAATTCTCATAATAACATATGTATGCATTATCAAACAAATTTTTTATCAGTGTTTTGAATTGAACGATAGCAATTTCAGGATAAGATTTAATCCAATTTTTTCTTTATATAAAAAGGAATTTTCCAGCATAAATAACGCAGTTTAATAGTGTTTTTTCATCATGAAGTTATTGGTGTTTGTACTTGGTTTTGCTGGTAAGTATCCAAATTATTGCTTCAAATATCAATCGTACAAATTCATCTAATTACTTCACCAAAACCCATTATTTACCAAGCGATGTAAATGATCTGGAATTTAGAAATACACTTGGTAAAATTAAATGTTCCATCCTTATAAAAGTCGACTACTAAAGGAAAATAATATAAAAATAAAAAATTAAACGCAGTTGCAATACGTAATAAATTCTGATCACAATTTACATTTCAGCTTTAGCAGCAGCTGTACCTATTTTAAAAGATGAAAAGACATATCCTCGATTCATCGAATTCCCCGACGGAGACGGTGTAATGCACACGGTTGATCTAGAAGCTGAACCAGACATGAAACTTCTGGAAGATATTAACAGAAATCCTGCTAATAACCGTTATCTTCTTTATACCAGGTATGTAAAGAATCACAAGGTCATTTATAAAATATTTTATTCAGACTATAAGTTGATTTTTTAATTTATTATTTCTGTTTCTTATAGACGCAACTCCAGAATTTCACAGACTTTAGTTATTAACGACGCCAACTCTGTTACGTCATCGAACTTCAACGCACGCCTTCCCACCGTAGTCGTTGTTCACGGTTGGCTGAGCAATCAATTCACTAGTACGAATGCTATGATTCGAGACGGTACGTTATTGTATAGCACATATTACTACTTTTAACCGTATTTTTATAAGAGAAGGGGTAAACAAACGCTGAGATTACCTTCTATACCCATAGACATCCGCAACACTAAAAAAAGCAGTAGGTAACTTGAACCGTCTTGTCTGAATCGCAATTCAATTAAAAAAATATTTCGTTTACAGCATGCTTGGGTAAGAGTGATGTTAATGTGATTGTTATGGAATGGAGGCGACTAGCGTCGTCTGATTATGCTACCGCTGTGAGGGGGGTGCCTGCAGTGGGCCGCGGTCTGGGGCAATTCCTAACTTTCCTCAACCGAGTGACGGGCGCGCCGTTCAACACAATGCACTTAGTTGGATTCAGTTTGGGTGCTCATGTTGTTGGAAACGCTGGAAGAGAAATTGGGGGAAGAGCAGCACGTGTTACTGGTGTGTATGTTAAATAAAACATTATTGTTAAACGAAACATAATGAGATGTAAATCCAAAAATCCATTATGGATTTACATCTCATTATGTTTCTCATGTTGGAACTGAATCAAATTCGTTTCTAGCTCTGTCTATCCAACAACGGATGAAAGACGATGCAGTTTCATCTTAATATGTTCTCTGTTTCAACAATCAGGTTTGGACCCTGCTGGACCACTATGGAATTACAACCAAAACCGTTTGAGACCCAGTGACGGTGTTTATGTCGAGGCTATACATACTGACGGAGGAACCGGAGGACTGGGTATTGGATCAGCTGTTGCTAATGCCGACTTCTTTCCTAATGGTGGCAACTCACAACCGGGCTGCTTAAGTAGTTTATGTAATCATATGCGTGCTTGTGAACTGTTCGCTGCGTCTGTCACCTACAATCACCTTGTCGGTCGGCAATGCTCCAGCACTGTACAAATCACTTTGAATACATGTACTGGATCTAGATTGAACATGGGCAACGATATTATAAATAAATCCGGGTAAGTGCAGATACTATGTGAAAAATAATTTGTACCCTTATCAGTATTTTTCACAGTCAGCATGATGCGTCATATTTTTATTTGTTTTTTCTATTATTTCAGCACCGGATTGTATCGCGTGAACACAGGCAGAAGTCATCCTTTCTAGTGATTTCGACAAAATAAATTTATTTTGATTACCAACAAGAAATAAACGCTGAATGATTCACAATGGTTGTAGTTTTAATTAAATTTTTCCATTGTTTTTACCAAATCTTCCTTCTCCGGAGAGTTCTCACAGATTCACTACAATCAATATTACTCATATACATAGTTGATTAAAATAATTTCATCATACTCAAGTACGTTAATAATGATAAATGATGCTAACAAGATGCATTATACTTCAATTCCGACTCCAGATGTACATTGTGAAATGACTATCTGAACAAAATGGCCGGCTCGGCTGGTGAATTACCACGCCTACACAAAAGACAAGCGTTTGACGTTCCTGCTTGCCATCATCATCAACCTGCCCTTATCCCTATCGAGGGTCGGCACAGCATGTACTACTCCTCCATACATCTCTATCAGCCGTCATATCCGAGTCTACCCCCTTCTTAGGCTGCCAGTCCACCAGAGCGGAGCGAGGCAGCGGAGCCGAGAAACGGACTAATGCGGAGTGGAGTTGCGTACTGTGACTGTCC